TGGTAAGAGAGTTTTGGTTAGAAAACATGCAAATTCAAATATATAGTAAGATTTTTTGGATATGATTTCTTTTGTAATTAGTTTATATTAATATAATATGAAATCAAGTTTTCTATTTTGAACTATTTGAATTTATTTAATAGACAATGATATAATAGTTTAATTTAAGTTATTTAGCTTTGTCATGGTTCAAAATGTATTGTAAAATATCTTAAGTGAGTCGTTTTTATTTTAATGGTAATGTTTCTCAATTACATTAAAAATTAAATTTATAATTTTATTATATTCTTATATGATAAAATTATATTAATTGAAATTATAAATTTATATATTTTATATAATAAAATTATATTAATTGAAGTTTTAGTTATAGATAATACAAAAGAATCCATAGGTAAAGTTTCTATTATTTGTAATATTAGCATATTATACAGTGACATTCAATGTAACTGTAGGAAAATGTTTCACGATAGCTAGTTTGGTTATATTGTCTAACATTTCTTGTACTTGTGTTTTAAATAATATAATTATTTTTCTTTTCTAAAAATATTTAGCTTACCTTTATAGTTGACATTAAATGAGAGTGTCACTAAAAATTCTGCAGACTTTTATATCTATAGATATTTGACTTTTGATAATAAATTTTGAGTGTCACCAAGTGTGTTTGGATTGGCCCTGGTCAAAATAATTATGCGAAATTTGAATTTAGGAAAATTGATTTTAAGATAATTAAATTTAATAAAATTGATTTATGTTTATATAAAATAAATTAGAAGTAATCGTTATCTATTAATGTTGTTTGGTTTGTTTTATCGAAATTTATTTTAAATGTAAAATTATCAAATGGTATAAATTTGATTACAAATCAAAAATACAAGAAGTAATTGATGAAAATTAAATATGGTAAAAAATGAAAATTTCATGAATCTCGCATGCTTGCTGCATCAGCGTAGAAATTAAATGGCATAATATTTCTGAGTACATATGCAAATGAGGCTAATCTAAATGAGACAACTTTTGTCCATCAGAGTGATGCTCATCACCCTAGCTTGATGGAACCAAATAGTATTGATTGTATTCACGAGGTAACCTTGAATGTTTTTTGTATATTTTGTGTTCTTATGGTTTATTCCTTTGGAAACATAAAAGACAATAGTTTAATGGAAAAAAACGGTGGTGCTACTATGTTTGTACTTTTTGTGTTCAGGAGTGTCTTGATTTTACAGGTTTAAATCTTGTTTAAAATTTATTTTCACGCTTCAGGTTCCTTTTAAAGTTTTGGTGGCACTCATATTTATTTGGAATTATCTTTAATCAAGTATGTCATTAATTATTGCTTATTTTCCATAGTAGGATGATTCAATAGATAGCTTGCAAAGAGAAACATCACATCCGGGTAGTAAATTTAGTTTGCCTAATCCAAGGAGGATGAAACTTTCTTCATTGAAGGGGTATGAACCAAAAAACATCACAAAAAGGAGAGGATAGAAAAAATGCATTAAATTTGAATAAGATACTTTAAGGAATGGAGTAGCACTTCTTTAACTAAATGTCACTATAAATTTTCATGGTCTAATTTTATTACACAAAGTTTTTTTTACATATTTGGTCAGTTCCTCGTCTCTTAACAATCAGATCTCTCACCGTATTATGATCCTAATGATTTTTGCCTAACTTTTTCTTCTTATTTGATAGAGTAAACTGAAAACTAATCTTTAATGCTTATACATTTGAATAAAAAACTAAAGTAAGTATAATTAAAAGGTATTAGTCTTTTCTTTTCTTTTTATTTTAATGTCAATCAAATTTAGTTTATCAGGTTGATTTGAAGGACAAATGGAGAAATATGGTACACTATGGAGGCCAATAAATCATTTGTACGTGTATAGTTTTTCTTTTACGAGTAGTTCATGTCCAACAAAAGACCTGCATTAGCTATACAGCTTAGAACTAAAATTGTGTAGTACATATATATTTTAAATTAGAGGAGGTATGTTTATGATGTATTTGGTATATGATCCTAAGGTTGTACATAAAAACATTGAAAAAAATAATGTTAGTGTTGCTTTAACAGGAAGTACTTCTTATAATTTTTGTCTCAGATGTATCTAAGTGATTTTTGGTAAGAGAGTTTTGGTTAGAAAACATGCAAATTCAAATATATAGTAAGATTTTTTGGATATGATTTCTTTTGTAATTAGTTTATATTAATATAATATGAAATCAAGTTTTCTATTTTGAACTATTTGAATTTATTTAATAGACAATGATATAATAGTTTAATTTAAGTTATTTAGCTTTGTCATGGTTCAAAATGTATTGTAAAATATCTTAAATGAGTCGTTTTTATTTTAATGGTAATGTTTCTCAATTACATTAAAAATTAAATTTATAATTTTATTATATTTTTATATGATAAAATTATATTAATTGAAATTATAAATTTATATATTTTATATAATAAAATTATATTAATTGAAGTTTTAGTTATAGATAATACAAAAGAATCCATAGGTAAAGTTTCTATTATTTGTAATATTAGCATAGTATACAATGACATTCAATGTAACTATAGGAAAATGTTTCACGATAGCTAGTTTGGTTATATTGTCTAACATTTCTTGTACTTGTGTTTTAAATAATATAATTATTTTTCTTTTCTAAAAATATTTAGCTTACCTTTATAGTTGACATTAAATGAGAGTGTCACTAAAAATTCTGCAGACTTTTATATCTATAGATATTTGACTTTTGATAATAAATTTTGCGTGTCACCAAGTGTGTTTGGATTGGCCCTGGTCAAAATAATTATGCGAAATTTGAATTTAGGAAAATTGATTTTAAGATAATTAAATTTAATAAAATTGATTTATGTTTATATAAAATAAATTAGAAGTAATCGTTATCTATTAATGTTGTTTGGATTGTTTTATCAAAATTTATTTTAAATGTATAATTATCAAATGGTATAAATTTGATTACAAATCAAAAATACAAGAAGTAATTGATGAAAGTTAAATATGGTAAAAAATGAAAATTACATGAATCTCGCATGCTTGCTGCATCAGCGTAGAAATTAAATGGCATAATATTTCTGAGTACATATGCAAATGAGGCTAATCTAAATGAGACAACTTTTGTCCATCAGAGTGATGCTCATCACCCTAGCTTGATGGAACCAAATAGTATTGATTGTATTCACGAGGTAACCTTGAATGTGTTTTGTATATTTTGTGTTCTTATGGTTTATTCCTTTGGAAACATAAAAGACAATAGTTTAATGGAAAAAAACGGTGGTCACTACAAGAAAATTGGCAGATTGCGACAGGTATTTTTGTAGATTACGACGGTTAAAACCGTCGCAATTTGCTTTCCACGACGGTTGCTTTACCGTCGCAGAAGTGTGTGTCCCCAACCTATTTCGCGACGGTTACAAAAACTGCCGTTCTAGTTTACGACGGGTTGATACCGTCGTGACTATCTTTTGAGTTTCTTTTAATTATTGATGGCGACGGTTCGATACTGTCGTGAATATCTTGTGAAATTGATTAAATTGTTTATGGCGACGATTCGATACCGTCATGACTTTTGTTGATTATTTTTAATTGTTGATTACGACGGATCGGTACTGTCGCCATGACTTTTGTTTATGTCTTGATTTTTTTTTATTTTTCTATTATATATATTTTTTATTTAAATTATTATCTATGTAAAAAATTTTAAATATAGTTTTTTTTTTGTGTTATTTTTTTCTTTAAATTATTTCTTTAATATATTTATTTATAGTATTATTTTTTGTTTTATTTTCTATCACTTTGTAATATAGTAAAACTAATTTCAATAAAAAATATTTAACATCAAATAAGCATTATAATATCCAAAAAAATGTGTGTTCCATAATCATGTAAAATGCGAGTTCCATAATCATGTCAAGTAGTACAAAAAACCCAAAATATATCAATTCCTAATCTTATAATAATAAGTATCATTATGCCAAAAATACATGAGAAAGTTCACAATCTAATTATCTCGATCATAGCAAAGTCTAATTTGTCCCCCCTAAAGTTCCATTATCTCCAATACGGTAGCTAGACTCAGATGAACGTCTACCATCAGCGGGTGATTCCAATCCCTAAAAAAAGGTATTAAAATAATAATCTTTAAAATAATACTCATAAAATTTAACTTTAAATGCGTCAAAATAATATACCTGTCTTCCACTAAAATTCTGCATTTGCATTAAGAGTTCAATTTCCTTTGTCCTCGCCTTGTCCCTTTGCGTTAAGAATATGATTGCCTGTGTTAGGATTTTAAAGTGCTTTTGCGGTCCCGTATGAATGCGATTGCAAACATTGCAATTTTGGTTATTACAATTGCTTATAAGAATAATGTATTTGTAAAGGCACACTCAAATTTAAGATAAAATTCTTATAAGATAAAATTCTTTAGTCTAACACTATTAAACAGTGATATAGTAAAGGCACACTCAAATTTAAGAATGAAATCATACCTCAAAGACGCACGAGGGTTTGAAGAGCAGCGAAGCAAGTGGAAGAGAAAAGTTACCTGCAACAAAAACCAAAGCAGCATATCAATAGTTGGTAGAAATCATAGATTTATCAAATAGAAATCTTATATTTTTCAACAGCTCATATCCCTTTAAATCCAACAAAAACATTATTATTTTCATTCTAGTGCAGAAGACACTTCATGTTTCAGATGCATGAAGGGGTGCAGCTCAGTTTCTTGAGAAGAAGGGGTTCACTCAATTTACTCCTCACTTTATAACTTGGTACTGCCCTAATGATTTTCTCTTAAGCAATCAATGCAAGTCTCAGTGTATAAACAACAGCCGGTACTGTGCTCCAGACCCTCAATAGAATCTATGATATAATTTAACAGAATTCCAGATTACTAGATCTGTTTTGTATTATTTATAAACTGTCAATGTTTTTCATATGCTCTAGCTTGTGTAAACATTTCTCTACCACATGTTAATTTTAGACCCTACCAACAGGAGAAACTGGTGGATTAGAAACATAACTTGTAGGAATATCTTCTAATTTACCAAAAGCCTTTAGTTCCTCGGTTTGCGACTTTCTTGTTCCAGAAAGCTCACATGGCATCTTGCTATCAACTAATGCAATGCAAATGGCGAATGCTTGCAAAAGTGAGAGCGACGAGTCAAAGGCTACAGAACTCATACCATTTTCTAAGGGGTTAAGCTGAATGCTGGGCACGGATCGTGTTTGTTCCCCTGTGGTTAGCAAGAAAAGAGATGCACCAAAATTACTAATCTTAGTAATATGTAATAGCGTATGCAAAATATGTTTCATGAACAAAATGTACCTGAACAAAAAGATCGAATTGATAATCTGCAAAATAAGGTTTGGATGACAGTGGTTTTCTACTGGCTTGATTGTCAGTAGCAATAATTTTAAGTTTGCAAGCCAAATCCCAACCACCGCAGTCACATGATCCACCGGATTTCCACCGCTAAAGTAGTGATGAAGGTCCGCCTTTACTTGGAAAACTATGAACCCCGCCTGGGAGCACAACCGTTGCATGGACAATGTCATGACTATCACTGTGGCAACTGCTATGATGTTGATTGTTAATGAAACTGATAGCTTTAGGTATTTTGACGGCAATAGCAGCAAGCTCGTCTTTTGGCTGATAGTCGGCGTCCTGAGCATCACTTTGCCCGAGCTTTACAGAAAATAAAACAAACTCTTTCACGGTAGAGGAGTCCATACAATTCTGGCCGGTTAAATCATAATAATGCAAATAAGAAGCCTTCATTTGAGCCACAACATGGGGAACGTAATCAGGTTCTTTGCTTCTGCCTACTTTACTCATCCAACTTCCATTCTTCTTCTTAACCTCGCTAAAGGTTAAAAAGGTATAGATGCGGTTGCATTCGTCTTTTCCAGAGTCGCCTAAGTTCTTCACTTTGGCTGCAAGAATGTTACCGTCAATTTGGTTAACAGCAAATGTAAAAAGAGGCAGACCGTTCTTCACAGCAATTCTCAAAAGAGCTTCTGGAAGGTAGTGGGGGAAGATGCGCTGCTTTCTCAGGTGCTTCTGGAAGATCTAATTCCAAATGACCAAGTGGCCGCAAGAAAGAGTTCTCCTGAAATCATAAATAGTAATTGTTCAGATTGCTTTTCCTATTACGGGGAGAGGGGAAACTAACCAAATTAAGTAGTGCAAGATACCATGACAGCATCACCAACAGTCAACTCAAAATCATATCTGCCCGAGAGATAATAAAATTTGTCCACCAAGCCAAGAAAATCCTAAAAGACAAAATTATGAATTTTAACAGAACAATAACTATATATTAATAGTAGATGAGAATGAAATGATCATACAGTCTTCGCCAAAACATACAGGTGACAAAATTATAAGCCCCCAAACCCAGTCCAGCTTAAATGCAATTAGGGAATGCTGATTCATATTTAATTGTGCATATCTAGAACGGTACAACCTAACAGATAAATAAACCCTCTGTTACAAAAAGACACATTGTATTAAAACCAGAACATACATGCCTTTTCCACTTTAAGTTCACTTGATTTCTAATATTCAGAATGTAGCAGTTATGAACTAAAACAGATTATCCTGACTTCAGCATCGTGTAATAGCTATTTATTATGAATTGTAACAAACTCAATAAGTACTCGAGAATATACATGTTAATCTAGACAATGAAATATAAAATAGGAGATACTTAACGAGAATAATCTCGAACTTCTTGCCGGTATTTCTGACCACAAAGATGTGTTCATACTTTGTCTCATGCTTCAACTTAAGCAATGCCTGAAGAAGAATAAATGTTTAATAAAGAAGAGACCAATGAAATGACATTCATTTAAAAGGTCTAATGCAACTACTACAAACCTGGCGAGGCTTAAAGGTATGGCCATGAGGCGTTATCAACTGAAAAGAAAAACGCAACTTTTGAAGATGGTTAGCTGAGAGTGAAACAACATCAGTTCCAGCCAAATCTAGCCTACACAGAAACACAAAATAAAGATTTAAATTGAAGTGAAGAAATAAACATAATTAATAGAATTGCTAACAAAAACGCAAAACCAAGATTTAAATGTATATATGTGTTCAGCTCGAACTTCAAACACTGCATAAAAATGACAAACATATGACAATGAGACATACTAATTGATGATTAAGTACACTGATCCTGAATATAATTGCAGAGATGTTTTCAAACCAGTAATTGAAACCTTACGTTTTGTGGGTTTCATCACTTCCAAGATCACTGCCAAGAACTGCAATTTCTGCGTTGCTAACTTTAACAATGCCAGTGACATATATCGGCACGTGAATTTGGCCTCCAATAGCATAATCATTTTCACTACCTGAATCATGAAGCACTGTCTACAAAATAGGCTTAAAACGTTATAACTAACAAGAAGATACAAATAAATACACCTTGGTGTAATGAAAGGAAAAATAATCACTAAATAAACATAATACCTCAAAAACAAACACATATGTTCCCACATCCACATTATCTGGGAAGCCCATGACATGAAGTCCACTACTTTGATCGTACTGGAGTTCCTGTAGAACACAATAAGGGAGGTATATTCAAACAATTGAAAGTAGAACAGACCAGAGATAATAAAGAATCCCATAAACTAAATTACTCTACGACATCCACTTCTAAAAATAATCATTGACTCATCACTCACCTTGCCCTCGATAACAACAGAATGTTTAGCATCAGCGTGGAAAGCTCTGACAAGCTTAACTGTAAGAGGTGGTGCGGCTGAACCAAGTACTGTATTCACTGTAACCTGTTTAATTTTGAAATAGAAATCTGTCATTTTCTGAAGTGAAAAGCTGTACATTCATTAAAAAAAACTTAAGATTTATTAATGCAGCCAACTGATTCATGTGATGCTAATATAGTATTGCATGTATAAGAATCAACAAGTGAGAAATGGGGGAAGAGTTTATTAAGCTCCACAACTGAATAAAAAAAAATGGCGCATAGGAGAGTGTGAGATGAAGAATTTAAAAGGAGACTGAAAATGACAGAACAAAAAATAACTGGTAGCATCATGTGAAAGAAAGCCTAACTGGAACTCAGAACTGTATCGGTAATCTTTAATATATTTGAGTCAACCAACATATTTTTGACAGAAAAAGTGATAAAAACATAATCTTATGAGGTGGTTGAGGAGCCAAAACAGAAAACCAGTGTGAACCATCAACTAATCGTTTCACTCCCAAAATAAAGACTTTAGAAACTTTAACTTCATTACTTACCTTGAGCTGATCTTTTTTGGACAATGAATAAACTGTTGCAGGAAGTGACAGCACTAATGGGACGGGAACCCTACACCAGAACAAGAAATCCGAGGCATTTTTTTTACTGAATATTATTAAGATATCAAGATATGTGCAAAGAAGAAACACGAGGGAAAAAAGGACACCACTATAAAGCTGTACTAAAATTATAAATTCCTTTCCTGAAAAGCACTTGCCTTTTGCTCTCCAGAAGAGCTAATGATTCAATTTGATTGAAGAAGTCCTTGGCACTTCCTGGAAGAGGAACCATCGACCTTGAAGAGGAACCATCGAAGAGTTGTAAAGCAACGGAACGGTGAGAATCGGAAATCGGACTTGGATTCGTGACGGCGTTGCAGATCGAAATAGTGAAAAACAGTATGAGAAATTTGGCTAGGTTTATGGCCATTTCTGCAGCTATGAATCTATGAATGCAAATCGCATTTACGATAGGTTAGGGATTTGAGAAATGAGATCGAGAATTACGAGATACGCGAAGAAACGACTTGTGCGAGTGAGTCTGTGTGTTTTTGGTGCAATTGAACTAGTATCATCACTGGCTCTTGATCATCTAGCCATCTTTTCAAACAACGAATCGCCGCCAGTCGCTGCCGTCACGGTGCTTCCGGATTCTCTGAACGCAGGAGTAGAAAGTGAATGGATGTTTTATGAGATTTTTAACTTTTTTACGGCGACGGGTGTTTTACCGTCGTGCCCATGAAAATTTTTAAAGGTTTTGGATGCGACGGTTGTTTTACCGTCGTGAAATGAATTTTAGGACAGATAATTTTACGGTCGTGAAAGGTTTAAGGGTGCGATGGGTGCTTTACCGTCGTGATATGCCTTTTAGGACGGTTAATTTTACCGTCGTGACTAGTTGTTGGTGAAAAATCAATGTTAAAAGTGTTAAATAGGGGCCGACGGTTGTTTTACCGTCGTAATAATAATATTATGATGGTTAAATATACCGTCGCAAAATAAATATTAGGGACGGTTGGTGTCAACTGTCGTAAACACTGTCTCTATATGTCAATTACGACAGTTATCACATAACTGTCGCAATTTTTGTGTCGTTAAACACTAATTTTCTTGTAGTGGGTGCTACTATGTTTGTACTTTTTGTGTTCAGGAGTGTCTTGATTTTACAGGTTTAAATCTTGTTTAAAATTTATTTTCACGCTTCAGGTTCCTTTTAAAGTTTTGGTGGCACTCATATTTATTTGGAATTATCTTTAATCAAGTATGTCATTAATTATTGCTTATTTTCCATAGTAGGATGATTCAATAGATAGCTTGCAAAGAGAAACATCACATCCGGGTAGTAAATTTAGTTTGCCTAATCCAAGGAGGAGGAAACTTTCTTCATTGAAGGGGTATGAACCAAAAAACATCACAAAAAGGAGAGCATAGAAAAAATGCATTAAATTTGAATAAGATACTTTAAGGAATGGAGTAGCACTTGTTTAACTAAATGTCACTATAAATTTTCATGGTCTAATTTTATTATACAAAGTTTTTTTTACATATTTGGTCAGTTCCTCGTCTCTTAACAATCAGATCTCTCACCATATTATGATCCTAATGATTTTTGCCTAACTTTTTCTTCTTATTTGATAGAGTAAACTGAAAACTAATCTTTAATGCTTATACATTTGAATAAAAAACTGAAGTAAGTATAATTAAAAGGTATTAGTCTTTTCTTTTCTTTTTATTTTAATATCAATCAAATTTAGTTTATCAGGTTGATTTGAAGGACAAATGGAGAAATATGGTACACTATGGAGGCCAATAAATCATTTGTACGTGTATAGTTTTTCTTTTACGAGTAGTTCATGTCCAACAAAAGACCTGCATTAGCTATACAACTTAGAACTAAAATTGTGTAGTACATATATATTTTAAAGGCTTAAATGCAGTTTTGACCCCCCTAGTTTAAGGTTTTTGGAGTTTAGATCCCCCTAGTTTAAAAGCCAGGTTTCTAGTCCCCATAGTTTTCAAATTTGGGATTTTTGAAGCCCCCCTCCATCTGGCTGCCCAAAAAGTTTTCAAATTTGGGATTTTTGAAATCTCGTACGGGCGGATGGAAGAGGAAATTAGGTTAAGCAATTTGGGATTTTCAGAAAATATGAATTATGAAATTAAAAATTCATTTGGAAATTAATATCACTTATTTAAATGTTTAAAAAATATTATTCTAAATAAGAAATAAGAAAATAATACGTGGCATTACTCTCCCTGTGCCATGTCACATGGAGGGGGCTTCAAAAATCCCAAATTTGAAAACTTTTTGGGCAGCCAGATGGAGGGGGGCTTCAAAAATCCCAAATTTGAAAACTATGGGGACTAGAAACCTGGCTTTTAAACTAGGGGGATCGAAACTCCAAAAACCTTAAACTAGGGGGGTCAAAACTGCATTTAAGCCTATTTTAAATTAGAGGAGGTATGTTTATGATGTATTTGGTATATGATCCTAAGGTTGTACATAAAAACATTGAAAAAAATAATGTTAGTGTTGCTTTAACAGGAAGTACTTCTTATAATTTTTGTCTCAGATGTATCTAACTGATTTTTGGTAAGAGAGTTTTGGTTAGAAAACATGCAAATTCAAATATATAGTAAGATTTTATGGATATGATTTCTTTTGTAATTAGTTTATATTAATATAATATGAAATCAAGTTTTGTATTTTGAACTATTTGAATTTATTTAATAGACAATGATATAATAGTTTAATTTAAGTTATTTAGCTTTGTCATGGTTCAAAATGTATTGTAAAATATCTTAAATGAGTCGTTTTTATTTTAATGGTAATGTTTCTCAATTACATTAAAAATTAAATTTATAATTTTATTATATTTTTATATGATAAAATTATATTAATTGAAATTATAAATTTATATATTTTATATAATAAAATTATATTAATTGAAGTTTTAGTTATAGATAATACAAAAGAATCCATAGGTAAAGTTTCTATTATTTGTAATATTAGCATAGTATACAGTGACATTCAATGTAACTATAGGAAAATGTTTCACGATAGCTAGTTTGGTTATATTGTCTAACATTTCTTGTACTTGTGTTTTAAATAATATAATTATTTTTCTTTTCTAAAAATATTTAGCTTACCTTTATAGTTGACATTAAATGAGAGTGTCACTAAAAATTCTGCAGACTTTTATATCTATAGATATTTGACTTTTGATAATAAATTTTGTGTGTCACCAAGTGTGTTTGGATTGGCCCTGGTCAAAATAATTATGCGAAATTTGAATTTAGGAAATTTGATTTTAAGATAATTAAATTTAATAAAATTGATTTATGTTTATATAAAATAAATTAGAAGTAATCGTTATCTATTAATGTTGTTTGGATTGTTTTATCGAAATTTATTTTAAATGTATAATTATCAAATGGTATAAATTTGATTACAAATCAAAAATACAAGAAGTAATTGATGAAAATTAAATATGGTAAAAAATGAAAATTACATGAATCTCGCATGCTTGCTGCATCAGCGTAGAAATTAAATGGCATAATATTTCTGAGTACATATGCAAATGAGGCTAATCTTAATGAGACAACTTTTGTCCATCAGAGTGATGCTCATCACCCTAGCTTGATGGAACCAAATAGTATTGATTATATTCACGAGGTAACCTTGAATGTGTTTTGTATATTTTGTGTTCTTACGGTTTATTCCTTTGGAAACATAAAAGACAATAGTTTAATGGAAAAAAACAGTGGTGCTACTATGTTTGTACTTTTTGTGTTCAGGAGTGTCTTGATTTTACAGGTTTAAATCTTGTTTAAAATTTATTTTCACGCTTCAGGTTCCTTTTAAAGTTTTGGTGGCACTCATATTTATTTGGAATTATCTTTAATCAAGTATGTCATTAATTATTGCTTATTTTCTATAGTAGGATGATTCAATAGATAGCTTGCAAAGGGAAACATCACATCCGGGAAGTAAATTTAGTTTGCCTAATCCAAGGAGGAGGAAACTTTCTTCATTGAAGGGGTATGAACCAAAAAACAGCACAAAAAGGAGAGGATAGAAAAAATGCATTAAATTTGAATAAGATACTTTAAGGAATGGAGTAGCACTTGTTTAACTAAATGTCACTATAAATTTTCATGGTCTAATTTTATTATACAAAGTTTTTTTTACATATTTGGTCAGTTCCTCGTCTCTTAACAATCAGATCTCTCACCATATTATGATCCTAATGATTTTTGCCTAACTTTTTCTTCTTATTTGATAGAGTAAACTGAAAACTAATCTTTAATGCTTATACATTTCAATAAAAAACTGAAGTAAGTATAATTAAAAGGTATTAGTCTTTTCTTTTCTTTTTATTTTAATGTCAATCAAATTTAGTTTATCAGGTTGATTTGAAGGACAAATGGAGAAATATGGTACACTATGGAGGCCAATAAATCATTTGTACGTGTATAGTTTTTCTTTTACGAGTAATTCATGTCCAACAAAAGACCTGCATTAGCTATACAACTTAGAACTAAAATTGTGTAGTACATATATATTTTAAATTAGAGGAGGTATGTTTATGATGTATTTGGTATATGATCCTAAGGTTGTACATAAAAACATGGAAAAAATAATGTTAGTGTTGCTTTAACAGGAAGTACTTCTTATAATTTTTGTCTCAGATGTATCTAACTGATTTTTGGTAAGAGAGTTTTGGTTAGAAAACATGCAAATTCAAATATATAGTAAGATTTTATGGATATGATTTCTTTGGTAATTAGTTTATATTAATATAATATGAAATCAAGTTTTCTATGTTGAACTATTTGAATTTATTTAATAGACTATGATATAATAGTTTAATTTAAGTTATTTAGCTTTGTCATGGTTCAAAATGTATTGTAAAATATCTTAAATGAGTCGTTTTTATTTTAATGGTAATGTTTCTCAATTACATTAAAAATTAAATTTATAATTTTATTATATTTTTATTTGATAAAATTATATTAATTGAAATTATAAATTTATATATTTTATATAATAAAATTATATTAATTGAAGTTTTAGTTATAGATAATACAAAAGAATCCATAGGTAAAGTTTCTATTATTTATAATATTAGCATAGTATACAATGACATTCAATGTAACTATAGGAAAATGTTTCACGATAGCTAGTTTGGTTATATTGTCTAACATTTCTTGTACTTGTGTTTTAAATAATATAATTATTTTGCTTTTCTAAAAATATTTAGCTTACCTTTATAGTTGACATTAAATGAGAGTGTCACTAGAAATTCTGCAGACTTTTATATCTATAGATATTTGACTTTTGATAATAAATTTTGCGTGTCACCAAGTTTGTTTGGATTGGCCCTGGTCAAAATAATTATGCGAAATTTGAATTTAGGAAAATTGATT